AAGCATATACGAGTGGCTTATGATCGGTGAAAATGGTACATGGTTGTGCTTCGACAATGTGCCTGAAATACTTCACCGATTTAATAGATGGCAAGCAACTCACGATAATACGCAGGCCACGCACTTTGTTTCACCGACATTTTCTTTGAAAAAAATGCTATGGGTTGCCAGATGTTATTGACTCGCTGCTGCAGACATGCGCCGATAGATTGGCTAGATGCGTCTGTGAATAGTCCAAGTCGTGCGGCTGGATGAGGATGTGCTAAAAGAGTAGCGGTCGCAAGACTTTCTTTGCATGTGGTGAACGCTTTTTCTAACTCGGGAGTCCATTCTATCGGTTGGGAACCTTTTGTCTTCGGGCCTTTGAGAATACCGTGAAGTGGTGCTTGCAGGTCGGCAGCTTTGGGAATAAACCGGCGATAAAAATTTACCATTCCCAAAAACCGGCGTAATCCTTGCATAGATTTTGGCAATGGATACTGTCGTAGGGCTTCGACGCGTTCCGGTGGCGGGCGGGTGCCTTCAGAAGATACTAGGTAACCTAGAAATTTCACCTCAGCCGAACCTAATACACATTTTTGCGGGTTAACGACAACACCGTAGTCAGAAAGTCTCCCGAAAAGAGTGCGTAAATGCTGTTTGTGGTCCTCTTCCGATTTAGAGAATACCAAAATGTCATCAATATATACATAACAGAAGTCCAACCCAATGGTAACTTCGTCTATGAAGCGTAGAAAGGTTTGTCCAGCATTTCGCAATTCGAATGTCATAAAAGGATATTCATAAAGTCAGAATGGAGTGGTAATGGCTGTTTTGCATATATCGTCCGGATTAACAGGTATTTGATGGTAAGCCTTTACCAGATCGATTGTGGAAAATAACGTGCAATTAGNTCAGAAATCATTTATGTGTCTGACTGGATAGGAGTCTGGTATAGTTCGGGCGTTCAGCGCGCGGTAATCACCGCAAGGACGCCAGCTGTTCTCCCCTTTCGGTGCTAAATGTAATGGTGAAGACCACGGACTGCTTGAAGGTCTAGCGGTACCTGCCTTGACCATTTCCGCGAATTCCTGTTTGGCGATTTTTAGTCTACCTGGAGCTAAGCGGCGTGGGCGGCAGGCTATTGGCTGACCAGGTGTCGTAAGAATGTGGTGCACTGTTTGATGTTTTATTGTCCTGGGCAATCCGGTGGGACGTGTGATGTCCGGAAATTCTGCGAGAAGTGCAGCCCAAGGGGAAGTGTTGGCAACTGATTTTATGCTGCATTGATTTACAGAGGAAACCTTACCATTCACAGCCAAGCCTGTGACACCATCAATAAGACGTTTGGTACGGCAATCCGGCAGCAAGTGGTAGTATGCCATGAAGTCGGAACCAATGATAGGAGTACTCACGTCGGCGACAATAAAACTCCACGGGAAACTGCGTCGAAGTCCTAAATTCAAATTGAGATGGACCGTCCCGTAAGTTTTTATGGTACTGTTGTTGGCCGCGCTGAGGTCGTAATCGGTGNTAATTCAAATTGAGATGGACCGACCCGTAAGTTTTTATGGTACTGTTGTTGGCCGCGCTGAGGTCGTAATCGGTGGCATGGCGTCGTTCCCGTAGTAGCCGTTGAGGGTAACAAGATAAGTCGGAACCGGAGTCGACTAAAAATTGGCGTTTTGTTATTTGATCTGTAACAAACAGGCGGCTGCTCGGGTTCGGACAGTCTGTTGCCGCCGCTACTGACTGTCGTTGGAGTTTTCCTGATACTTGCAGGGAGCCTTCATTTGGCAGCCTTTTCTCCATAAGTGCTATGATACCAACACCATCCTTTGCCGTTAGTCAGTTCCACGTTTGAACGGTTACGTGACCTAGAGCGGGAACGTTGCGGGCGTTTAGCACATAATTCGCTTACCTGTTTTGNAGCCGAGTATACGGTGCAGACGAAGTGCAAGACACAAATACTAGGCGTACCAGGTGAGGAAAGATAACAGAGTACGAGGTGCAGACGAAGTGCAAAACACAAGTACTCTGAAATGTCGAGGAAAAGAGTATATAGGTTAGAAAAGGAATAAACAAAGACTTTACTTTAAATAGTAAGCCGGACAGCGACAACCGAGTACTGAGACTGATGAATGACACAAGGCACTGGAGTTGACTGACCACGATGGTCAGGTCTATTGGGTTTTTATAATAATTAGAACTATTGCTGATTTGGAAATAAATATTATTTGTTAATTCATCAGTCTCAGGCAGCGGATGTGCTGTCTGTATTTTATTAAAATAATTCTCACGATTATGAAAACGTGACACCATCACACTTGTCACGGTGTCAAGGGCGGGGAGACACCCGATAACAACCGATTGTCATATTGATAGATGGACGGCTGATATTATGAGTAACACGAGCACACGGCAGCCTCGAAAGTAACGCGGTGCCGTGTCAAAGTGAATGAGCTCGTCAAGATTAATCTGGGAAAGTTATGTTTGGAGATCAGAAAGAAATTTTTAGCACTCCGTGAATGTTTAAAAATTTTGGCATGTCTTGATAAAAAATTAGTCGCCATCGCCATGTGCATAATTTTTATCCAGAGATCGTTTTATGTGTGCGTAACACAATTTTGTTTTTATTTTATGTTACGTTAAAAGAAAATACAAAAAATACTGTAATTCAAATTTTAATTTAATGATTGTAAAGTTTTCTTTTGTATAACTGTTATGATAAATAGTAATTAGTTGGTTATTATTAAGTATAAGTTTGAATATATATTTGTATTTGTAGTTATATTGTTAAGGCACTAAGATATTATATTATAGGATATGTTTTTCTAATATCTATTGTTTTATGGTACTGAATCTATAGTATATTTGATCTCTACATTTAAAGTATAATTGTTCATTGGAGTTTGACATAATCATGAATTCCTGTATCCAACAACTATTAACATTAATTGCAAATAAGACAATGTTATCATCAAATTTTTAGTTATCAACTAATTATCATTTTCATTGGCGCCTAATAAAAATTTGTATTAAGGTATTAGATTCTAAAACATTAATTCAAATTTATATTTATGTTCCTTTATTTAAAATTCTATATAATAGTAACTAATTTCAACCTATGACGTCATAACAGAATATTATTAATGATTTTGATACCAAAGATAGTATTATTATTGAAATATTAATAATAATATTTAAATAACAACAAGTAACAAATATCTACAATCAATTTTACTATTCACCCTTTATGAATTTTACTCATTTTAATAATTAAACGTTTTTTATTTTTCGATTTTTCTACCTTATTTTTTTTTTCTTACTAATTCTGAAATAACACTTTTTTTTGAAAACACATATTGTGCCAGACTATGCTGGGCACAATAAGTGTTTTAAGTACTGCATTCGGAGTATGTGATCTATCCGTAATGACAATGTGAAGTGTTCTGGGTCTGAAGCAGAGCCCACCGAGATGGATCCTATTAATTCCTATATAAATGAAATTTGTTGCAAGTATCATTTGCAATATATATTTTTACGTTTATAAAAACTTTTTACACAAATATACGAGAAAGCATTTTAAATTAAAAATTTTAAAAATACATCATCTTGATTACCTTTGCTAATAAGTGTATGAGAAGTTTTGTTCATGTTTGTTATACAAGGAAGAGATGTCTTTGACATTAAGTTTTTCACATGAAGATTGAAATTTTTTTTATTTAAAAATTTATTAATTTTTTCTTGAAAAATATATAATTCATTTGTTTTTTTACAATTTTCGCAAAATTCATTCATCGAAGAAAGTAATACTGAGTCATCTAGGTATTCTAAACTGAATTTAAGTGTATCCTTCTTTTGTCTTTTGAGTCTTGCTAAGTCAATGAGTCGTTTTGCAAAATTATATTGCCAAGGATTAACAACAAACTTGCCATAAATAAAAAATGAAATCATCCTAACTACGTAAACAGATGCATCTAGAAAAGTTATTTTGAGAGTATGATTAGGATTTAAATTTTTTATCCTAATATCGTTTTTTAACACTTCTAAAATTTGAAGACATAAAAATGTGTGAAAACACTCTAAAGACTCTAATTCTTTTTTTAATTTGTTTAAGCTTGATTCTTTTTTTTGTCTACATTCGTAATTATCTTCACAAGATCTTGATAACAACTTAATGTCATCTTTATTTATAAATGAATGTTTAATAAATCTTTGATTTTTTTCACAGACAAATGATTTGATATTATTATTAATAGTAATTATAACTTGTAAAAATGAATCGTCAAATATGGTATCATAATCAGGTGGCTGAAATCATTATGTAAGTTATCGTCAAAAAATAAAAGTAATAATAATAAAACAAGCAGAGTAAAGTTTTAATTGAATTTCAAAATGGCAGATCTGAAAGATTCCAGAGTCAATATTTATCGAATATTTTTCGGTAAATAATGTGTTCACATATGACATAACAAGTTGACATCTCACAAGGCGTAAGGGATTAACTTAAAAAGTATTACATAGTTAATAATTCAAAAATAATGTGAAACTAAAGAAAAGAAAAAAAATTATTTAAATTATATTTATTTTGTAAGTAATTGAGTAAGTTATGATAAAAAAATCACTTAGTAGACAGCTCTATTTTTGGATTCTTTTGTATTTACATAATTAATGAATTATTCTTGAAATTATTTTCAAATATTAGTTAGAAATTAGTCAATGTAAAAAAAGCATTTTTATATAATTTTTTTCATGACGTAGTGAACATAAAAATGTTAAATCTCTTAACGGGATTGATAAGAGGAAATTAAATTCCTTCTTTTTAAAATTGCATTTCTATTTTGTTATTATTATGTTATTAAAAACAATCGAATCAACTTCTATATGGAACATGAAAGACTTTTGAAATCGATGTTATCAAGCCATATTATTGGATCATTTAAAAAAGACAATAATTATCATTTAGATATTTGATGTAAAGACATTAATTATTGTTTTTCAATTTTATTATTATTTTACTCATTTAAAATTCTTATTTTATGATTTTATAAATTAAATATTTTGTAACTATACCCCTGTGGAACCTCGTCTGATCAGTGCTTATTCGCTGGTAAGAGTTCCAAATATTAGTTCTTATTTTATTAAGCCCATAGTTTTGCAAATATTGGCGTATATAAATAAATTAATTTGACGAAATAAAAATTGGTTTTAAATTTTCCGCATTTAGACCACTCAACTATGCCTTAAATAATTTTTAATTCCATGGTTTTTAATTATACATAAAACTTTGAAAGTAATTTTTATTTAATTGTTTTAAATATGATATTTAAATTCTAATGTTTAATAACAATCCTTCATAAGTTATTAAAAATAATTATTCTATTCCCACTTCAATTGAAATTAAATATCTTGATTTTACCCTTGACAGTAAACTTTACTGATTTCACATTATCCATTTTAAAATAATAACTGTAAATCAGTGTTAAAAAATCAATCTGAATAATTCGATTAATTCAATTTTTTGTCAATGAACACTTTATGTTTATTTCTTTCTTTCGATGTACTTGGTTTTTAAATCAGACCATTTTCCTTTATGAAGGGAGCGTTAAAAACATTAAATATACGAGTAAAAAATAGAATTTTTTCAACTTAAATTTTGAAAATGTTTCAGAAATACTCCGAGCTTTAATATATGCCAATTAAATCTTATGTTAAATACTATATGATTCAAAAAAAAAATTTGTCTCGACACATATTCTTTTATGAAGCAATAGCCGCTGAATTGAATCAAAAATGTAATATTTATTTAAAAATCAAAGTTTATTGTGTTATTATTTTGATTTTTAAAATTGCCAAAACTTTTTAAAAATGAACAAAGCAATGTAATTTTTTTATATCGAAACCTTAGTTTTTTCATTTGTTTTACATACAGATCGATAAATTAAAAATCTGACTTTTACTTATCCACAGGGTGTATTTAAAATAGAACCTTTTGCACACAAGTCAAATTTTTTCAACTTATTGTCAGCTTTTAACATATGTAAGACTTATGTTACGAACTTAAAATATAAAAAACAAAAATTTGTCCAGAAGAATATTTTCTATGTGCGGTTTTTTAAAGCATGCTATTTTTGTGTTCAAATTTATTTATTTTTTGTTCATATTAAAAATAAATACAAGAGTTTGTCATAATAAGTAATGATTTTTATACATATATAAATTTAAACTTATTTTGAATATTTTGCCTCCACTAAGTTAAAAAAAACGTTTTTCAATTTTTGAACTAGCTTAATTTTCATACTATTTTTAATTGCTATAATGAATATTTATTCATATATTGCACTTATAAATCATAATAGTTGTAATCGGGATTTAAATAAATACATAGTATTTAATTTGGTTTTTGGAAATAATCCAACTATTTATTTTAAAAATTAATCACTATCTACAGATTTGTATCGAAGGGTTTCTTGTGATAGTAATTTTAATCACTATCATATATCATCTATACTTATCCACACTGTGCCATGATTCCATTTAGCTACTGTTTCTATTCTTATAACGGAAACAAATGTTAACTAATATTCTTTCAATACATCAGCGCCGGAACTTATTGCACCACCAGGTATAAATATTTTTGAATCTTGTTTTGGCCAGGCTAAATGAAGCTTTAAAAAGTATTGATATCGATCTCTCAATAAAATATTCTCTCTCAAAAAGATACTTTTTCAATAAAAATGTGCTAAAGGTACATTATTAAAATTATATTTATAGTAAAAATACAGAGTGTATAGAATCTTATACATATAAAATAGATTTGTTACACAATCTCCTATTGTTGTGAACTGGCTTTTTGCTGCCTAATTGTAATTGTGTAATTTAATAGTATAAATATATTAATCATGGGAACGGAAACCTCTTTTATCTTGTATATAAAGTATTTACCAGGCAAGCATCTAGTCCTTCTAGAACATTCAATGCTTGCTCAGCCCTTTTCAATGTATTGGGCCTACGGCCGCCGCCGCCTGAGGCTAGTAGTAGTCAGCTACTCATTCAAGAGTCGTATAGTTCATAGGGTCGAACCTGAACGACTCTCCACTGAATCTTTTGTTAATTTGCTCACTGAATCTTTTATGTTAACTTGTTCACTGAATCTTTTATATTAATTAAGTATCAACTCATTAAAGTCGAGAAGTCAATTATAAGTGTATACATATTTTTAATTATAATAAATAGCAACTAATTATCAAACGCATTATCTTTTCATTTTGTCTACCGTACCAACCAGGTCACAACACTATATTTAAAATAAAATCGTTTTTCTAAGCAGTCATATTGACTATATAACTTGTAGTACTTTTCACGATACACGTTGTATAAGCCTGTGAAACAGAATAAAATTAAACATCAACGTTTTATTGTTTCAAATACCATTACGTTACTTAGGTTATAAAGTAATAACCAGTAATAAACCATTAAGATAAATTAAAACCCATTTTTATTTATATTATTACGCATTTTATACTCTTACATATTCTGCTATATATCACCACATATTATATTATTCTACTATTATACTACCATATTTTATTTTATACCATTTTTTTAACTCTTCTGTTTTATCTTTTATGGTTTATTATGCTAATTTGTTATTATCTCAAAAATTTAAGTTAATAGAAAAAAACTAATTGCTANACGCTAATTTGATATTATCTCAAAAATTTAAGTTAATAGAAAAAAACTAATTGCTAATTTTCAATTAAATTAAAAATTTATTATATGGTCTAAATGCTGGAAATTCAAAAAAAAATTCTGTTTCATCCAATTTTTTTTTGTATTCACGCCAATATTTGCAAAGCCAAGGGCTTATAAGACAATATATTAATATAATAACGAATAATTTAATATTTAGAACACGTATTGGAGAATAAGCGCAATACTTGGGTTAAATATAGAATTTGGATCATTATTATTTTAGCAGGGCCCTCACATACACACATCATAATATCTTTGTATTACTGTCCATTTTCATATTATCAGAATATATTTTTATTTATGTTTGTATATTCTGTAGTTCGGATGAACTCAAAACATTTTAGAATCTTCTAATTTGCAAAGAAAATTTAAATGTTAAAATATTTAAAATTATTTTTGTACATACTTGTATTTCTGGGCTAGCATTTGAGTTGAAAAATATTTGTGCTGATATAAGAATAACGTAAAGACACATTATCAAATTAAATGCATTACAACGATTTTTAATCATTCTTTTAGTTTTTTAAAAATACTTAATAGTATATATTGAAGTTTTATAAAACAACTTTCTGAACAAATTCCTGCATATATAACTTCAATTAATCTCTTACAAAAAAACTTATGTATAAATTGTAATTTTAAATTTTACTAATAACATAATACTTTGATTTATTCCAACCTTAATAAATAAATAAATTGGAATCGTTTATAGTGCTATTTTTAACAAATTAAGTATGTGTTTTTAGATTATTAAAAAATACATCGCCCAAATAAAATGTGTTTTATGTTCATAATGAAAAATAAAACTATAAGGAAATAAATTTAAAAGTTTACATTTACCAAAAAAAAAAAAACAAAAAAATTATGTTGGTGTGTCATAAGTATAAATGAAAGCAATCAAAATATAACTATCCAGGTAACAGCAACAATTAAATAACGAATTTCTGATTAAGGTCCACAGTTAAATTTTTTCGAATTACCAAAATTTAACGAACATACCAGTTATGTTAATTAAATCGTAAATACTGAATATTTCAGTAAAAACTGTGTTGACACATCCATAGTTTTATTCTGTGAAAAAGATTAACATGATATAGGTTCAGAAATATTTTTAAAATTAATGTGTGAGAGACAATTACATTTTGTATCACAATGTCCTAATATACAATAAAAGACGCAATTTGACTAGATAGTATCAGGTCCGACGTCTTGCTCGCCTAGTTCTGACAGCAGTATATTTATTAAAAATATTATGCAAATACTTTATTTAGAAAATAAAATTTCTCAATTTTGCGGCTAGACGAAGTCATAGATAGTAAAGTATATTCAGTCAACAAGAAGCTATGTAAAAAACATTTCTATCAAAATTTTAAGCGTGATAAAGAAGGGCGAGTTATGTTGACATTCAAGGACGCAACATTCAAAAACTAGGTTACTTCAATAATATCGCTTTGTTAAACTTTTTATATTATATTCTATAATGTAAAAAAAAAATTTACCATTAAAACGTCGATTTCAGTCNAAAAAATTTACCATTAAAACGTCGATTTCAGTCCATACCAGTAGTATATTTTCTGTTTACTAACACAATAGCCTGATGGCAGAATAGCTGATTATGGCTGATTATTAAATATAATTTTCTAACACAATAAACATCATCTAGAAAATTCTTTCGCGGGCGGCGATAGTGGAGATGACGATAGTATGCATTGTTACAAACATGACGTCACAACTATTCTTGATAAAACGTTATATACAGGATGATTTTTTTATCATAACCCACTTAATTACTTGCAGAATAATAATAATTTAAACATTTTTTTTTTTATTATTTTTAGTTACACATTATTCTTGAATTTTTAACTA